CAGAATACAAGCAAAACACAGATTCAGGTGGGTAGCCACATCAGTCTGAAGCAGCAGAACAAAGTTTGACTCCAGTGACACCTTTAAGATCAACAAAGTTTTACTCCTGGTATAAGCTTTCGTGCACATTCACACTTCTTTGGGTACATGTGCATGCACAAGAGCTTATACCAGGAATAAAACTTTGTTGGTCTTAAAGGTGCCACTGGATTCAAGCAAAACACAGTTAGCTTTAGCAACTGATTAAAACAGATTCCAATTGTTAATGAGCGTTAAAAACAATATCCTAAAAACAACACAACAGCATAATCATGAAGCTAAGACTCCTGTGTCCCCCCCAAAAAACCCCCTAAATCTGCATTTTTCTGAATGAGTGGACAAACTCATCTTTTGAGAGGACTCTAGTACCTTTAAGGAATGCATATAAACAAACACTGCTCTAGTACAATGAGCAACAAAGACCAGTGAAAACCTACTTCCGTTAAAGGTACAAGACTACTCTTTGACTCAGGTCAGATCAGGCAGCGCTGTTCAAGAGTTTAACAAGTGTGGGTAGGCCTTCCCCAGAAGGAGGTGAAGGATATTATTTGGTCTAAAGAACCTGTATTTTGTTTGCAAGCCACATGAGAATGAAGTTTAACTGGAGAATCTTTTCAGAAGGGTCCCTTCTTGGGACTTCTCAGCAGGATCTTTACTCGGCAACTTTTGCAAGAACACTCTCCGCATCTTCCACTGCATCTTCTAGTAAGCCCTTCAGCAAGCCAAAAGAATTCACTCCACCACCTAGAGAGTCCAAGACAGGGATAAAATCTGATATCTCTTCCAGCGCTATTTGTACAGCCATCCACCACTGATGTAAACATCAGAGTAGGTAGGCCTTCCGTAGCAGGTGGTGAAAAAACTATTATTTGCTCTAAAAAGTGCATATTTTCTTTGCTCAGGTCACAGGGGAATGAAGGTTAATTACAGACGCTTTTGCAGGAACTTTACTCAGCAACTTTTGCCAGAACGCTCTCAGCATCTTCCACTGCATCTTGTAGGAAGCCCTTCAGCATGTAAAATGTGGTGGAAAAAGAACTAACTCCACCAATTAGAGAGCCTAAGACAGGTATGAAATCGGCAAATTCTTCCAGCACCATTGCAGAGCTGCACAGCAGGGACTTGGTTGTGAGAGAATTCACAAATTCCGGGTTGATCTGGTTGGCCATCGGAGTCTTTTTGATAGCAGATTTCAGTACGTCGACAGGTTTGCCAACCCTCTTGGCGAGGTTACAGAGGGACTCTTCATCTAAGCCAAAGTTCCTGCAGAACTCTTTCATTGTGCTCACCAAGAGGGCAATATCAAAAATAAGAGAGAGACCTGGGATAGGAATCACCCCAATGCCACAAGACAAAAGGGCTCTTTTCCAGATGAGGGCCTCCATAGCAGCCCTTTTCTCTTCCAGTTGTTCTCTTGAGAAAGCTGGCATTGCCATGATTAGAAGAGGCCTCTTGAGATCATTCAGGTCACCTGCTAGGGTCTTCTGCAGGAGAGGGAAATCGAACATATTCAAATGCCAGCTGGATATGAGAAAAACCCTTGGATCGACCGCTCCTTCTTCTCTCAAATTGGAAAGGCAGTATTTACGAATCTCTGCCAGGGTCTGTGCCTCACTAAAGTTCGGCTTCCTTCTCTCAGCATCCATAGCCTGATTCACTTTGTTGCGAACAAAGTAAAACCGCTTATTCATCTTTTGAATTTCTGAGGCCAGCATTGCATCATTCATTGTGAAGCGTTCTGAGGCAACAATGATGAAGAAGTCATACTTGCGAAAATTTACCTTCTCTAGGTATTCCCTTGGTTTAAATGCACGTGTCCCAATTCCTGGTAGATCCCATAAGGTTAGTTCTGGGAATTTAGGATGGGGATATCTCTCTGGATCCATGGTGGTTTGTGTCACCCCAATTTTAGCTGCACCTTCTTCATAATCTGAGACGTTCCGAAAGGCATTCACAAGGGATGATTTACCGGTTCCTGAAGCCCCTGTGAAAGCAATATCAAGTGTCGTGTTCTTTAACAATTTCAACTCTTTATAAGCATTAGCTAATGCATCTTGGAGATGTTTTTCTTTCAAATATGACTTCATCTCAGCAAGTTGCAGTTTTATGGATTCATTTGAGTTGGTGCCAGCCATAGCTGTTCTTCGAGATGGTTCAGTGGATCTGAATAAGAACAGAAGGATAATGTTTGTTACCTCATGTAGGATTATGGTGAAATGGACATTTTGAAATTCTAGATTTAATTGTATGGGGATTTTATTTTTTAAGCATCCCTCCACTCGTGAAGAATTAGATCTGTGCTCAGTGCATTTGATTTTCATGTTGGAAGTGGGGATGATTGCTTTTTTAAAAAAAACACATTGCAAGATTGTGGTTCCCTTTGGTTTTTTCCTTCAGTCATCCAACTTGATGTCCCATTGCTATGCCTGCCCCTACTTTGCTTAAGTAGGAACCTCACCAGTTAAGGCAAATTCACATGGTGTCTGTTACTACTGAGACTGTGTGGCATTCATGGCAAAGAGATAATCTACATTCAACCCTTGGAACTAAGGGCCTAACCAAACATTACATGATTTCCAGGTCTGCCCAGGTCTTGCCAAATCAGTCAGTTTTCAAAACGTAATTCTCGGGCTTCCCTCTCCCCCTCTGTCATGATCCTGGGCCTATGGTGGTGCGGCCTACAGGCTCTAGGGAGGCCTAGTGGCTCCAGGGAAGCCTGTATTGGAGTAGGTATCGGGATTTTGGAGGGAAAACTACAACAGCAGGGGAGTGGAGGGTGGTGCCTGGCAAGAAGGTACAAAAGGCCTTGTCCAAAGTGGGAGGGTGTCCTCTCTCTCAGGGAGCAGGGCTAGTGAGGCTGTGGCAGAAAGAGGGATTCCTCATCCAAAAGGGGTAAGTCGGTCTGAGACCAGGTACCTGGAGAAGGCTAGGGCCATATAGTCAGACGCGTCAGGATTTATTATTTTACTGACTTACCTCACTTTACTGTACTCATTATTCCTATACGTTATTAAAGTTGTTGTTAAATCTCTTTAAGAAAACTAGTTTGTTACTCTGCCTGGGTCCTCACACCTCATTTGGTCACGTATAAAGGGAAACCTACTGGGAAAGTACTGCATAAAGGGGTAGGGTGGGAGCTCTGGGCCTTCCTGAGGAGACTCATACCAGAGTGGTAGCAGCCATAAGAGAACCTTTCTAGACACTGCCCGTGACATCCTCCCTTCCCCTGGTATCATGCCCTCAACTTGGAGCACCCTCAGGGAGCTGCCACTTGTCCTATTAGGGAAATATACGTACAGCCCATCAGCATAGCTGAATTTCCCCAGCAGGGCAAATAGCAGCTACCTGGAGTGGTTTCTCACTAGGAAAACAGCCTGGTCAGAAGAACTTGCATCCTCTCGTCTCACTTAGGGTTACCAGGGTGAGTCTGGAACCAGAAGGATGAGTGGGGACAGGGAAATTGGGGGACGGACCTGATGTCATCTACATAACTATGTTGTTTCTGGGGGTAACCCAGAAGCAGAGGTCATTTCGGGGGGGATCGCGGGGGATCACAGTTCCCCCGGTCGAGGTGTGAGGGGGCGGGGCACACGATGAAGCCCTGCCCCCTGCTTCCGGCTGCCCCGCTTCCAGCTCTCATTCAGCCAGGAGGAGGCAGGAGAAGAGGGAGGGTAAGTTGCTTCCTCCCTGCCTCTCCCCACCCCTGCCTGCCTGGGGCCAGGGAGGGCCTTGGCGGGGCTTCCTTGCACTCCCGCCGGCCTTGCAGGTCCACCGTTGGGCCCCTGATGTCAGGGGGTGTGGCATATACTAATGAGTTATGCTAATGAGTTCCCCTAGCTCTTTTTCTACAAAACTACCCCTGCCCAGAAGTGATGCAGGGTAGCTCTAGGAGTCACTGGAAGCTGTATGGTAAAACCATAAAGTTTCTGATGATCCCTAGAGCCACCCTACATCACTTCTAGGTTGCCCCAGAAGTGATGTAGCAATGCAGCCAACATCAATTTTTTTTAATGTTTTCCCGCCACCACTTGGAGGAGCATGCCAGCAGCCGTGCCCCCCATGGTACTGTCCCACTCCCAATCAGGGCCCCACGCAACTGAGAATTAAGTCTCAAAAATCACTGGCAGCTTCAGGCATAGATCTCCCAGCACCCATCTGCTTCGAGAGGACCTTGGGCAGACCCAGAAGCTGTATAATGTGTTCAGGCCCTAACTCTTCATAGCCTAATGAAGTTTGAGTCCAGCAGCACTTTTAAGACCAAGAAAGGTTTATTCCTGGTATAAGCTTCCGTGTGCATGCACCCTTCTTCAGAAGGAGACTTTGAGTCCAGCAAAGTTTGAGACCAGTGGCACCTTTAAGACCAACAAAGACCAACCGCATCCGTATGTATGCAAAAGCTTATACCAGGAATACACCTGTGATCATCTTCAAG